CTCTGCCTAGTTGCCTGGCCTCACTCCTCCTTCACTCCCCTTGCCCAGGTGTGGGCACTGGATCTAGCCAGCTGGCGACTAAGGAGAGAGAATGGTCACTCCAACCTGTATACTCTGGTCTGGGTTTACCCCCACCTTCCCTGCCTTGCTCCTACCCACCAGTGTGTGCACCCAGCCTTGAGATTCCCAAATTCCTAGTGCCATGCTCTCTGGCATGATGGCTATTGCTCAAGGCTCTTTCAATTCTTGGGAAAGAATTTCTGAAAATGGCAACATAGTGCAGGAAAAACACAACAGAGACATGTGCTCTAGAAGTAGGTCTATGTTCTAGAAGATCTATTTTCTAAAAGCAGAAGGTCCCACCTCCTCTTGCAGGACTGTGCCTTGAAAAGATAAAGTACTTAACCCAGCAGTACTGTTTTTGCACTTTTATCATGCATGAAGCATAGGGCTAAGCACATTACATCTACGATATAATTTAGTCCTTTTTTTTTTAAAAAATTTTTTTTTTTGCTTGTTTGTTGGTGTTTTTTTTTTTTTTTAATTGGGGAATTGGGTGATGGGAACAGCACTGGGGAATTAGGGGAAGGGGAACAGACAAGTTGCTGTCGTTTTGGTCTTCAGTCTAGTTGTGGAGGACGTTGCTTCACTGGCCCAAGTTGGCACCATCATTGCGCTCTTCCCAGGCGAGGCACATCAGTCGCCGGCTTCTGGACGGCCGCTCACTGCGGCTGCTGGCTGTTCACGCTGGCTGCTGGCTACACACGGTAGCCCATGGCAACCCACTGCCACAGGGGCTGCAGCCTATGCAATCGCCGGCGACTCATGGCAGCCCAGCTCCAGGTTGAGCTGTTGTTCAGCATCTTAGCTGTAGAGGGCAGTGTCACTGGCCCTCATATGTGGGATCCGTACTGTGGCCCTCTGGTGTCCCAAGCCAGTTCTTAACCATCACGCCATCCGGCCGGCCCAATCCCTTTCTTAACTTTTATTTTTTTTATAGGACTACTTTAGATAGAGCTATTATTTTTTTTTATTCACAGATGAGAACACAAAGGCTCAGAGAGATTGAGTAACTTGTCCAAAGGCAGAGCTGGGATTCTAATTTAGACCTTACTCTTAACATCTACGATGCCATCTCCACAGTATCTTCCTTTGTAAAATGGGAGTAACGTTATTCTTGTAGTATTATTGGAAAAGATAAAATGGAAAAATTGTAGGTAATGGAAGCAGACATCTCAGAGTCTGTTGGGAGTCATGCCAAGTGAGGCTCGGCAAAACACCTCTCTGCTCCCTTCCTTCCCCTGGCAAAATCAATGTCAAAATATAAGGTCTGTCAGCTACGTCCTATCTGTCCAGAGGCAAGGCCACAATGGGAGACTAAATTGGGTTGAAGAAATAAGAATGCAAGGCAGGGGGATTCATGCTAAATCATGAATGTTGGAACAGTAACAACAAAAGTGATCTGGGGATCATAGTGGACCAAAAGTCAAACATGACCCAGTAGTGATGTTTCAAACCAAGGCAAAGATTTGTGTGTGTGTGTGTTTGTGTGTGTGGAGGGGGGGCGTGATGGTAAGTGAGATGCTTGAGGGGATACCACTTACCTCTGATCACTGCCATGGCTGATACAGAAGTGAACCAAGAAAAGCATTATCTCTATTACCTCTATTGGGAGGGACACAGGTTCCGGGCAACAGAGTCAAGATTCAAGTCAGGATATGATGAGATGACTAGGCTGAAACCCACCAAATGAAATGAAATAAGGATAAATGCAGAGGCCCCAAAGTCAAGAATTCAAGGTAGGAAAAGCCATGTTTGACAGCAGGTCATGGGAAGACGGCTGAGGGTAGGAGTGGGGATGAGGGTAAGGAAAGGGCAAGGTGGAGGAATCAGTAAGGTGACCTTAGTGAGTGGAAACGTGGGGAGATGGCTGCAGGGTGGGTCATGCCAACTCCCAAAAGACTACCATCCTAAATGCACTCTGGTCACCTACAAGGCTATCTCGGGCTCAACTCCAGGCCTCTACTGTGAGGCAGATACCAGTGTTAGCCTGTCTAGAAGCATAGGCTGGGGTTTTGGGTCATATAAGGAAAGACAGAAGGTTGTTTAATCTGCTGACAAGACTCCAAGACAACTTGAGAGCTTACCACATCCACAGGAGGTAGAAAAGTGAACAGACTTTTCTGGGAAGCTCCAACTATGGAGGGCAGAATGAAGTCCAGTGAAGGGAGTGAGAGGTGGTAGATTTCAGTGCAGGATGGGGAAGAACTTCCTATCACTCAAAGCTGTCTTGGAGCAGGTCAGCTGGCACGGTAGAGAGCTCCCAGGCCCTGGGAGTTTTCAAACAGTTGCCTGATGGCTTGGGGATGCTTACGAGAGGGCTACTGTGATGGGTGGGAGGTTAAACTAGATCAGGGTTTTTTTTCAGTCTTTCTTGGAAATTGTTTCTTCAAATGATAGCTTATGGGAAACCAGCAAATGAAACACTGCTTCTCTATTTGAGTTGGGGCTAAGGACCAGGCTCCCAGGGTCCCCTCGTCTAAGGAACTGTTGGGAATTCTTGAAGCACAGTTGAAAACTAGTGACTGGACAGTCTCTAAGGTCCTTTTTAATGTTAAGACCAGGTAAGTCAAAACAGGAGCTTGAACGTGCCAGGCTGGTACTTTAAAATAATTGTCCAAGATTGTTCATTGTCTCAGCTCTTTCTGTTTACAACCCCCAGACCTGGCTGCCTCCTCCGATGGACACTGGGAATATAATGTCCTGTCTCTGAGGAGTGTCTAGCCTATGAGAGAGACAGCCTCATCAAGGGGGAGCACAAAATGCTGCGGAAGCACAGAGGAGCACATGACGGGATGGGGACAGTATGGAGGGGGGTAGATGTCAAGGGAGGCTCTGGTAGATATGTTTCATTGGAGCTTTGAAAGACAAATAAGAATTAACTTGATGAAGGATGATGGACATTGGAGGTAGGTAGGCAAAAGTACAGGTATTTAAAAAGATCAGAATGGAGGTAAGAAGCACACAGTGCATTCAGGAGCTGCCAGTCATCCAGAGTGACTGGAGCCAAGGGAGTAGGTGGGGCCTAGCAAGATATGAGCCTGGAGAAGTCACTGGGGACCAGATCCTGAAGCTCCAGTGAACTGACTCAAAGGGACTTTCTTCTGAAAACTCTGGGGAGCCTGGGATGATTCATAACTGGTTGAACCAATTTTTCTTGTAACTCTTCTGGTTCCTGAGGTCTGAAGAGCTCAGAAGTAGCCCTGTGAACGTGAGGAGAGATGAGCCTGCTCAGTGGACATTACAAATTACATTAAGTCTGGAGCATGGACAGTCATCTTCTATTCCTGGCTTGGCTCCTGATGCAGACAGTGACCTTCAAGCCATCTCTTTCCTTTTCGTGCATTAAGTCTCTTCTTTAGCAGAATGGGGATAAAAATGCGGCCACCAACCTGCCACATTAGAATTGCCAAGATCAAAGTGCTCCATGCAGCATAAACCAGAGCATAAAAGTCCTCCTTAATTAGAACACGAATTTTGAAATCAAGTTTGGAGGAATAAGAAACGTATAATGTGTGCATTTTGTTCTTCAGTTGACAGCAGGAAAATTGACATGTTTCTCTGATCAAGGGCTGGCTCAGGAGCCACCCATGACTTTTTAAAGGCCTGAGATAGCTGCTGGAGCGGGGGTTAGGGGTAACTGGGAGGCTGCCCTCTTTTTTGAGCTGGAAGTGGGAGAGGACAGGAGGTACAAGAAGAACAGCAGCACATCTCACCAACCAGCCGACCTCACAGGACTGTTGGAAGGATTGAGATAATCTGGGTAAAGGGCTTAGCACAGTGCCTGGCACATGGTAAGGCCCAGTAATACATGTAAGTGGTTTACTGTTAATGGGTATATATTGTGAAGACAGCTCTGAACTCACAGGACCTCCTTGCACGGGGCATGTGTTCTTTGAGACTTTACTACTGTCTACCTGTTGTTACTCCCTATGAAGCCCTAAATGCTTCATGGCAGGTTCCAAGGCCTGGCAAGATTTGCATCCCCCACAGTACCCAGTAGTGTTCTTTAACCCTCCCTGCCTCTCTTCTGAGATGGTACTTGTCAGTTTGCCTCGTATTGTAATTATTCATGTCAGCGTCTTGCTTGGTGAATTGTGAGCTCCTCAAGGACAAGGACTGAACCTTTAAATCTGGGCCCAGAAACAAGCATACTGAGCTTGGCCCTGCTTCACGGCCTCAGCACTTCATGTTCTCACTACCTGGTACTTTTCCTCAAGTATCAGCTGTTACTGCTGCAAAGATGGCTCTTCTGTCCATTAAGTTATCGCCTCCACTCCGCATTCTATTATTTTTTAAAAAATTTATCATAGCACTACCAGTATTTGAACTTATCTTACTGGCTTATTAATTTGTCTTCTTCACAAGCATATAAGGGCCTTATTTGTCCTGTTCACTGCTGTATTCCCGTTTCCTATAACTGTGCTTGGCACATAACAGGTGCCCGATGAATATTAATGAATGCTGAATCAGTGCTAAATCAAATGACTGGGGAAGTGGGCATTTTTACCTCTTCTCCAAGACTGGACAAAAAGGTCAGTATTGTGTAGACTGCAAAAAACAGAACATGTGGTTTCTGATTCCAAACTGGTAGGAGAAAACAGAAGTAGCAGCATAAGCATCCTGGAAACAAGACAAGGCAAACTCTGACCAGGTGCTGGATGTGAGGTGAGGCATGGACCAGAGGCCAGAGAGACACAGACGCTGGCTGGAACGGAGCTGGAGAGCAGGGGCCATCCTACTTATCCTCCTGTGTCAGCCCCTAACATGGCCGTGGCAGACAGCTCACCAAGTTAACACCAGCGGATTGGTGAAACACAGAAACTTTGTAACTTGGTATCTTGGTTTGCAAATATCCCTACTCAATAAGTTCTCTAGCTATGTGTGTTAACAGATTCTCTTAAATTCAGGGTATTTAAATATAGGCACACACACGAGACAATGTTTTGGCTAAAATCCATGCCATTTATTTAGTCAACAAACAACTGAGTATCTTCTATGTTTCAGGCCGTGTCCTTGGCACTGGGAATGGATAAACCCTGGCCCTCAAGAAGCTCACAGTCTAGTGGGGAGAAAAGGTACATACACAAATAAATATAGAGTATGCAAAGGGACCACTGTGGGAGGCAAAGGACAGAGGAATCCGATTCTACTGGTAATGTCCATAGGAAAGGAAGACCTGATTAATGGGCATTTTTTGTGAAGAACACATAAGGCAATGTTTCTCCAAGTGTGGCTGGTGAATTACCTACATTTGAATCACATGCAGCACATATTACAATGCAGATTCCCAGCACTTTCTGCAAAGATTGTGATTCAGTAGGCTGGGGTTTGGGACTTGGGCACCTGCATTTTGAAGTGCTAAAGGTAATTCTACTGCAGCTTATTAAAGTTTGATAACCTGTGAGATAAGGTTTGATCTTTCAACTGGAATGAAGAATGACCTGGACATCTGTAAATGCTAATTTGTGTTGGTCTTTAATGAGAGGCAGGGGAAGTAGAGAAGAGGAAGGGAGTTGACATTTGTTAAGCTCTCCTGTAGGTTATATATAAGTTAATTCTCACAATAATCCTATGAGGTAGATATTATTATTATTATTATTCCTATTTTACAGATGAAGAAACATAATTAGAGTTTAATTTGTACACTATTATAGAGCTAATGAATTGCAACTCTGACATCTGAACCCAGGTCCATTTATCTAAAGCCTGTCCACTTTCTATATCACCAGCCTGCACCAGGGGACAGATTTACTGATGTTACAATTTTCATTCAGTTCTTTGCCAGATCTTGCTAGGTAAATATAAAGAACAACCAGATGGAGCTTTGATTATGACCAATGCAACTGTTTGTGGGTACATCCTTCTTTGGCAAGTAGGGATTTAGGGCAAAGCTGGGAGGAATGATCAAATAAGCAGCCAGTGCTTATTTCTTTTCCCATCATTTTCTCACCCTCTGGTGGAGGTCTTATGAAAATGTACTATGGCTAAGAACTGGGTCCATTTGGAGGAAAAAGCAAACATAAGTGGATACTCATGAAAGCAACTCCACCTGGTGCTAAAGATTCCTGGGACTCAAAATATCCAGACTCAAGTTTCTCAAAAAATGAACTGTCAGGAAAGGCAGGTCCAGAATTTGCATTAGGAAACAACTCAACCTTTAGAGAAATTGTGAAAGGCTAGCAGCTTTTCCAGGTTAAACAAACACTGCCAGTCTCCTTCTATACACAGACTCAGAAGCACAACAAAATAGACACAGCTCAGAAAATAATTGGGAAGTCCAAGTCCATTTAAAGAGCCTGGGGACAGGCCCGACTATAATGAAGAAAACACATACACAATTGTAAGTACTGGTTACATTTCCACTCACCATATTCAGTGTCATACAACCCGATATCAGGCAGGAGCAGCAGACAAAGTGGAGCATGTTAGAGCAAGAAAAGGAAAGGCAGCTGGTGACAATAATGGGAGGTGGGGCCTCAGGTTCAGAAGTCTGGTGTGTAACTACCACCCTCTTCTATCACTGAGCGCGGAGCCATAACAGTGATACTATAAACCAAATGTGAGTTTCCTGTGCTGGAGACCTCCTTTCTTATTTTTTGTGTTTCACGCAACTACCGAGTCCAAAGATGACTTTTGATTAAATCAGCCTGTAATACTGACAGTATGGACAGCACATAGCTTAGACTTCACTGTTTAATGTAACAAACATAGTAAGCCAGACTTAATTTTATTGCTATATTTTCTCTACACCTAATCTGGGAACATTTTCTTCCACCCATTTTTTCATATAATACTGGCACAGCTTAGAGTTGTTTTTTTTTTATAAAGCAAAACACAAAAACATGCATTATCTGGATCGATCATCTCCTTACAAAAAAGTTGGTTTATTCACACTGCATTGATTCGCCCCCTTCAAATACAAGATAGCTTCTAAAGGGCAGAGTTAAGAGCAGCAGGTACCATGAACTATGGTTTAAAAATACACAGGCACTATACCTGTGTGTTTAACTATAGCTGGAATCTACTAATACTTCAAACCAGCTACACTAAAGGCAACTCTGGGGGCATCTAGATGAACTCTTAATCCTGATGGCGATATCTGGTTGTCTAAACAGGATATTTGGGTTATGCATTTGGCCAAAAACTGGCACATGGGCAGAGTATGCAAAGCCTACATCTAACTATAGCGGGTCTTCAAGCTTATTATCCTGTCACAGTTTATAAAGATGAAGTACTCATCGTTTGGGAGCTGTGCAGTCAAAATGGCCAGAATGCAAATGCACTTGTAACAAAATGTTACACTGTGTAAAATCAAGTTCACCATCCTGCAGATCCTTGGCTGTCTGGTTATGACCTCAAACACTTAAAAAGGAAATCTCAGGTATACTGAGAGATAATTATCAGAATGTTTAGGTACCTTTGTTTCTGGATATCAAAAATAGGGCTCATCTTCATGATTACTTCTTGCATAAGCAACACTGGGCTCATTGTCGATGCTAAGGTCCTGAGAGTTCAAGGGGGTAGGTGGGCTCTAGACTATCCAGGGCTGAGCAGGCTCTGTAAGGAGCCAACTTTTACAGCCCTAAGTCTTATCCTGGTTCTGGACACATTTCAGTTCTGCTCCAAGTCCACTTTGCTCCAATTCAGCGATGACAGACATATATTTGAACTCATTTGGTCTGAAGTTAAAGGTTTCCACTAATCCGTAGGTCTCCTTCCGATTGGTGGCATAGAAGAGCTGAACTTGGTTAGCAATGCACTGTGCCTCAGCAACTTTCTGTAAGGCAAAGAAAACAGTGAGGTCCCTCCCTGAACAGGACCACAAAGCTCTGTGTCACTGCTTCAGAAAGCCTCCCTGACTTCCAAGTCTGAGGTGCCCCTTCTCTGTGTACCCAAATTACCTCATGCTTACCTCTATTGTAGTATTTATCATACTGTATTATATTTGTCCTTTTTTTTTTTTAACTTTTTTTTTGTCTGGCTTCCCTAGTAAGAATTCCCCAAAGTATGTGCTTGTTTGACATCCCTGCACACAGTGACATCTAGTGAATGTTTGCTGAATAAATTAATGCATATTTTCAAAGTTTCCCTCTTCACTCAGTTCTTTTATAGCAGTTAAGTATTTCAAGGGGATGGAAAAGAACAATAGTTGCCCAGCTCCAAGAACTAGTTTGTGAGTACTAAGTTCTTGATTAACTTGAATAAAAACTGTTCCTGATACCACCTCAGTCAGAAAACTAGTGCCAAAGCCAGCTGTGATAATTTTCCAGTTTGTCCACAAATTCTGACACTCCTCCCTTTGATAGAGCCTCATTTCCCTTTCTTCGAGTGTAGGCTGTACTTACTGACTTGCTTCTAACAAAAGGACTAACGTGGAATGACAGAGAATGAATGACATCTGTATTAAGCCAAAAAAGACACAGCTTCTGTCTTGCTATCTCTCTTGAATCACTTGCTCTGGGGAAAGGCAGTTGCTACTTCAGGAGGACACTCAAGTAGCAAGGACATCTGAGTGGCAAGGAAATGAGGCCTCCTGTCCACAGCCAAGCGAGTGGGGTCAGAGAGGATCCTCAAGCCCAATCAACCTTCAGATGACTGTAGGCCTAGCCAACATCTTGACAGCAACTTCATGAGACTGAGCCAGAACCACCCAGCTATGCTGCTTCTGAATTCCTGACCCACAGAAATTGTGAGGTAATACATGTTTGTTTTAAGCCACTGAGTTTTGGAGTAATTTGCTATGCAGCCATTTATAACTAATCTACCAGCAAAGCCCCAGGGAAGAGAAGGGGCCACCTTCTCTAAAGCTCAGAGGCAGGGAAATGGTGACCAGACCACTCTACGTAACAGAAGTGGAGTCAGGACACAGGCTATGCTCTTGAAAACTTACAAAAGAATTACTTCAAACAACTCTTACTTTTGTTTCTTATACATTCTCCAGTTGTAGCTAGTCAGAGGCACTTATTATTCATTATCACTGTGTCCATATGGCCAAAACGCAACCCCAAAAGATAATGGAAAATTCCCACTAAAGCTGACTGTCAAAAGTGTGCTATGTCTAGCTACAGAATGATGAAGATGGGTTTATAAATACCCTAGACTGCTTTATCTCCATTCCTTCCTGTGGGGCTTTCAGGTCATTTTCGCACAAGCAGGCACTAATCTCTGAGACTGAATCTTTAATCAAAAGCTTTTTTCCAAAACACTGGCTATTTCAAATTAATAGAATTTCAGAGCTGGAATGGGCCTCAGAGATCACCCAGTCCTCATTTAATAAGCCAGGAAATCAAAGCAGATGAGGTCTAGGGATGGGCCCAAGGTCATGTGGCTAGTAAGTGGCAGAGCCAGGACCAGACCTCTGTACTACCAGGCTGGTACTCTCACCCCGATACTGTTTCTGGTGGGGCAAGATAATTAAGATTGATCAAGGTCAATAACTCTACTTCATCAATTTCACCTTTCTTATACTCAAACAGGCCTCAAGAGCAAAATGTTTCTGAAGTACGAGCACTGCCATAATCTGAGGCAGGTACCACCATTCTCTGCACCCCTGAACTGCAGGGCCTCTGACAATCAACTTTTATTTGAGGTTTACTATGCTGGAGGTGGGGTAACCTCAGCTGTGTCCACTCTAGAATAAGGCTGTTCCAACTGCAGAGTCCTAGGGGCTCTGTGGAGGTACCTCAGGTCGTTTCACTTCTGTTTCAGCTGTTATATCTTGGGGTTTTACGGAATAAGATTTTGTTTGGATAAAAGGTTCCTCCCACTAGGTCAAAGACCACTAATATGGTGGGTAGGGAGCTAAGACAGGGAGCAATGTGCATGTGTCTCTCAACGAGGGTTATGGAAAGCACCCCCCTTCTTATTCACCCCCTGCCTTTTGTTCTCTTAACTCTCAACATGAAGCAGTTGTTGCCTCACTTTCCAATACCTAAGAAGATAAACATATTAACACCCTGTGTTGCTCAATAAGGAAGTATATTAACAAGCCTGATTTCTCCTTCTCTTTTAGTCTTTATAGCTATGATCAAGTTACCAAGTCCTGCCCATTTTACTCCCTATATATTGGGTTGTCGGAAAAGCCATGACGCATTTTTGCAATGAAAATCATAGAAAAAAATACATCATGACTTTCCCGACAACCCAATACTTCTGGGGTCATTCTCTCTCCTCCATTCCTACTACCACTGCTCTGGTTCAGGTCTTCACCAACTCTTGCCCAGACTATTGAAACTACCTTCTAAATGATCACAATGACCAGGCTAGAACTAAAAAGTATTTAGGAAATAAATAATTAAGGTTAATGGTCTTGGAATCCAACTCTTTATGGGTCACTCGCTGTTCAAAACCCTTTAATGGCTCTTTCGTGCCTTCAGGATACAGCCAAACCTCTAAACACAAGCCACCAAACCTCCTTTTTTATATACCAGTGATCCCAAGCTGGCTGTAATACGCCAAGTCATTTTATGCCTCCTGGCATTTACTTATGTTATCTGCTCTGTCTGAAACATTCCCCTCCTCGTTCCACCTTTGTTTACCTGGCTAAACTCTGGCTTATCTTTGAAGGTTCAGCCCAAGTGTCTTCTTCCTTCTGGGTCAAGGAACCCCACCACCCAAAATGCTGTACATGCCTCCATCGTAGCACTTATTGCATTTCAGTGAAATCATCTATTGACACAGATATGGAACCAGGTAAGGCTTTTTAATATTCTGCTTAAACTTGCAGCATTAAAGTTAATTAGCTAAGCAGAAACCTCTAGTTTCCACGTATTTCTATTCATTCGCTTTACTGTATTTGGAAAACTATGCCTAAAGTACAAACTCATGCATGAGTATGCAGATCATATATTCGTACTAAATTTTTAGGTTTCCCATCTCTGAATCATGTACCTGTACAATAACTTCTAACATGTCTAGTTCTGTACAGCAGCTCCTAGAATAACGTCATTTTGTTCAATGTCGATTCTTTAAAATGTCAAGGAGATGCTGCAGGTCTTTAACTGTTGTTTAAATCATTAGCCTATGGTAAAATTGGTTTTGTTATCCGTTGTTTTTCCACAGTCCCAAGAACCTATCAATGATATTAAGTGAGGATTTACTGTACTTCACTGGCAACTCAGTCAAATTGATTTGTCTGAAATGCTGTTGAATGTTATAAGGCTAGGAAGCAAATTTTAATGATGATGGGAACTGTGCAGCAGTTTGAGACCACCAGAGTGAGGTGGTAAAAATGCCAAAGCAGAAAGGGCCTTTTTGATCGCTAGAGTTCACTTTTAATGTGGTTAGAGACTGTGCTTTGCTGAAGACCAGAAAATAAAGTACAATCTCTATGTCACTCACTCCTGTGGTCTTAAATCTTAAACCTTGTCATTATTGGTAACTATATCCCCTCTAAATCTCAATGTGAAACATCTATACTTCGTCTACTATTTCCTATCTTTGAAGTTCACCCCCAATTTCAAAAATCCTTTAACTCCACTAGGACTCCTAATTCTTACTGTTTCTAACCTCCTGTATGTTTTCACTTCCCACTTTATCCAGTTTGCATTCCATGGTCAATTATAATCACTCCTTTGCATTCATTTACCTTTAACTTCCGGGTTCCTATCTTACTTCATTATACCATTTGGCTAAATCATAACCCTAGTTACATCCACCTCTCAGCCCTCTCTTCTGTGCCTGTACCCGCACAGCCATTCTGTCTTCCATTTTCCTAGACCACGGGTTGGCATACACTTTCTGCAAAGTGACAGTGAATATTTTAGGCTCTTTGTTGCAACTGCTCAACTCTGTTGTAGAGCTAAAGCAACCATAAATAATATGTAAAAGATAACCATGGCTGTGTTCCTATAAAACTTTATTTACAGGCACAGAAATCTGAATTTCATATACTTTTTTTTTTTGAATTTCATATACTTTTCACAGGTCATGAAATATTCTTCTTCTTAATGGTTCCCCCTTCCCCAATCATTTAAAAATGTAGGACACATTCTTAACTCATGGGCCTTCTAAAAACAGACTGTGGATTGGATTTGGCCCACAGGCTGTAGTTCGCTGACTCCTGTCCTAGACAACAATTTCACACTTCCTCTTTTCCACTCAAATATCCAACGTCCATGCTCTCATCCTCACTCTCCGCTAATGACCTTTCCTTCTTTTCACTAAGCAATCTGGAGAGAACAACTATAAGCTACTACCACCTCTATCCATTTAACTGTATTTGTGTCCTTATATCCTGGCTTATCTCCTGTTATATTTCTGGCAAAAATCAACCCCTTATTCCCAGACTTACCCACTCAAAAATATCACTTCAACGATTCTCCCTTATTTCTCCACATTATCAATATTTTCCCTCTACTGGATCTTTACATCAGCATACAAATATAATGTTATTTCTCCCATATTTAAAACAAAACACAGTCTTGTTCCCACTTCTCCCCCTCCAGCTAATGCCCCATTCTCTCCTTCCCTTCCCAGAAACACCCCTTGAAAGACTTGTTTACGCTCACTCTTTCTAATTTCTCTTACCATTCTCTCTTAAATGCACTCCGATCATACTTTTATCCTACTGCTCCTTTGAGACTTCCCTCATAAAGGTCCCCCATGACTTCCATGTTGTGAAATGTAGTAAATTCTCAATCCTCATCTCATTCTTTCTGCCAGCGAGTGAGATTTGGCCAGTTGAGCACTTCTTATTCCTTGAAACATTTTATCTTAGCTCCCAGGGCATTCTACCATCTTAGTTTTCCTCGCACCTCACTGATTTGTTCCTTTTAAATCTTCTTTGCTGATGCTTCCTCATCTCCACAGGGTTCAGTTCTTAGACCTCTTCTCTTTTCTATCTTCATTTACTTCATTGGTGATTTCATTCAGTCTCATAGCTTTAAATAACAATCTATATGCTGACAACTCCCACATTTATATCTCCAGCCTGGATCTCTCCTCTGAACTCCAGGCTCATCTCTCTAACTGCTTACTACTTGGATAACTAACAGGCATCTCAGGTTCAACATGTCCACAGCTGAGCTCCTGATCTTCCTTCCAAATCTTTTCCTCCTGCAATCTTAGCTGTCTTAGTTAATGACAACTCCATTCCTCTGGATAGGAATTTTGGGTAACTTCCAATTGAGTGTGATGGGTAGAAGGGAAAATAGAGGAAATGGGACTAAACAGTTTCAGGAATAACAGGCAGGGAAGCAGAGTCCCAACTGAGTCCAAAACTTGGGACTTACTGCTACTGTGAGATATTAGCCAAGTGCCATCACTTTTTCCTTCCCTGTATGCAGCTGGTAAAAGAGAGAGGAAAAATAAATGGGTGTTGTAATAAAGAATCTCAGAGAAAAGAGGCACAAAAGTGCCCAGTATCTTGAGGACATCCTGAACTTAAACTCCGCCAGATAAATGACACTGAAACGAGCAAGGCCTAGACAAACAGATTGTACAGTAATCATAAAACTGCTCCTGGCTCTGGATATGCCGAGAGAATGAACACAACGGATATTATTACCTGTGGGCACATGGTTGATGTTTTATCCTAGGAAATGGGAAAAGGAGCAAGGGAAATCACTGTGTATGAGGGTGTTGTACATGTGAATAGTGTGGAGGAAGATGAAAGACTGAGAACTATTCTAGACTTTGACCTCTTCCCTACACTTAAGAAGCCACCTACTGTCCACAGTCTCTTATCTGAACCCCTAGGGCTACATGTGTTTAAGTCAGAATTTTTAGATGTTTTAAAGGTAATAGGGGCAGATATTGTTTTCAGAGCATGTGGACTTCAAAACTGTGAATAAGTGACTGAGGATCTGTATTAACTTCAACTTGGAAGAGCTTGAACAAGACAAAATTATTGTCAACTTTAAGAAACAAACAAATACATGTAGATTTCTGGAATTTTACCTCTCATGAGTTTGGCCAAAGAATAACACCTTCAGGGCTACTAGGTAAATTCAATGAGGTGTAAGTTGATCCTTACCAGAAATGTGGAATCCATTTCTGCTGTCATCAGCACTATGCCCTTTTCTTCCTTCAGTTCAGGGTAGTGATATAATATCAACTGGCTGGCTGCAGCTTCCCCTCGGGTCTGTAAGGAGGAACACTTATCAAGGCTCAATAAGGTACCACCACAACAAAACTGCAATTTCAGAGCAATAGAGAATCTGGAGGAAACTGTGGCTCTTATCATCCCCTTGGGGGGCTAGCGGGTCGGAGGACTGGTATGTGGGGGGATGGTCAGGCCTGCCAAGGCACAGTGAAAGTGACAGTTTGCACAGTGTTATTTGTGTCTTCAATTGAAAAAGGTTTGGCTCTTTTCCCAGAAAATGTTTACAGTAGGCAGTGAATCCTTCATCATAGCCATATATTTAAAAACAAAACAGCACAAGCAGCTACCAAATCAAGTTCTAAAGAAAGCAATATGCCTGTGTAATTGCCACTTTTATGGACTAGTGCATTTCACAGTTGAAATCTACTCCCCTTGGCTGGCTCTGAAGACTGAGCTCTTTTAAGCTGTAGCAAACAGCTGGAGAGTTTGCACATGGGCCAGATTTGTAATGTGCAGTTTTAAAATACAATCTGGGTGGGGAATAGGGGGAAAAGAAGAATGAGAACATCATAACTTCATGAAGAATGGACACAGCAGTGGTTACTAGATCTCAATTCAGACTAGGACACAGGCTGGGTTCAAAGCTAAAGCCCTCAAATAGTGTAGGAGGAAACAACTATACTTGTACATTTGAAGAAGATCGCTGGGTTACAGCTCTAAAATTTCAGGAAGAGGCCTTTTAATTATCAACACCTAACTATTGGGTTGTCGGGAGAGTCATGACGTATTTTTCTATGTTTTTCAATGCAAAAATGCATCATGACTTTCCCGATGACCCAATATTACTAGGGTACTCTTAATAGTTCAGCTTCTCAGTTTTCCCAAATTATGTCTACTATACTGATCATTTTGATCATAATTATGTTTCTGGATAGCTTTCTTATACTTGTATGTGAGCGTCATGAGGGCAGGGACTTTGTCTTACAGGTATCTAGGTCTAGCATAGTTTCCAACATAACAGCATAATGGTTAAGTTTATAGACTTTGGAGTCAATCAAACCCAGCTCTACCAGTGTGAACTAACTTCTCTGAGACCACTTTCTTCTCTATAAATACAAATAACAATAATAACTGTCTCATGGGATATTTGTAAGGATCAAATGACAATATATATAAAACATCTGGCACACAGTATATCAAATGTTGGTTGTTATAGTATGTGCCCCATAAATGATTGTTAGATGAATGATAAAATAACAAAGTGAAAGCTGCCCCCTCATTCTGTTTTGCACTCCCTTTACTCCAACTTCAAAGCCATTATTATACATGCTAGTTTTTGCCAGATTTGGCCTCTAAATACAGAAAGTCAATCTTAGTTATGATCTGATGTAAAATACTTTCATTTTAAAAGCTTCAAATGCTTTGGATTAAACTTCTTAATCTAATATTTGGGACTAAAACAAAGAAAAAGGAAGAGAGAAGGAAACAAAACAATATTTGTGGAATGGAAACTATGCATGCAGCACCTTGAGAAGCACTGACTTGATTAATAAAATGTATATAAGACATGGAGCCTACCTTAAAGTTAAAAAGATAACCATTATAACTCACTCATGTCTGTTAAGTGAGGCATATGTAGTAAATGTTACAGAAGTCTGGGGAAGAGACAGGAGAGAGCCCAAAGTAGTCAGAGAACATATTTGGGGGTCTTTTCCAATTTCTAGGTATTGAATAGGGCCTAGAAAGCTAGCCCAATATACCAGTGACAATTCACCAGTGCCACAGCAAACACTGCTGGGAGTTAGTAGACATTTTATGTCCTCAAGCCTCAGCAAGGGCTCACAGTCCCACAACGGGGCAGGCCTCTTTCCTTTAGGGAATGAACACAAGCCACCTACCTGAATATTTATAAGTGCAGTGAAGTGGAGTTCAGTACCTGACCACTGTCCTACAAAGAACTCATAGCCTTCCCTTCTTGGTAATGCACACAGAAACTGTGGGAAACACATACACAAGGAGGTAGATGAATAAATAAAATCATTGGCTCTATGTCCAACTACCTGCATCATTTACTCAATTTCTTCAATGTTTGGTTTAAAACATTTTTTTAAATCAGGAGATTCATACATGATAATAAACACACATATACTTCCCAACCCACCAAAGAAAGCATTAAATATCCAATTGAAGCCCTTTCTATAACCCATTCCAATCCCATTCCAGAGTAACATCTATCCTGTATTTGCTGTCTGTCATTCCCTTTCAGATTTTTATACTTTTAATGTGCATGTGTGTATCCATAAATAAGAAACAGTACTATTTGCATGTTTTAAAATGTAAATCTTATCAAACTATACGTATACTTTTGCAACTTGCTTTCTTCACTTCACATGATACTTCTGAGATTTATCGATGTTGATAAATATAACTCTGATTCATTAATTTTCATGGTTATATGGAATTCTCTGGGAAATTTACCACAGTTTATTCTTCTATTGATGAACATTTGGGTCTTTTTCAATTTTTAAACCTCCTAATGTTGCTGAATTAACTTTTGTTCCAATTATTGTAATCACTTTGTACTTTATCATCTGAGGCTGATACTGGAGCTCTAAACACTAAGAAATGATTAGTTTTATGCTTGAGATGTTTAGAATTGGGGATGAATGGTGAAGAGAATGATGCTAGAACATAACAAAATATAATCAGTCCAATATGCAATAGTCATGGAATTGTCTCCATAATTGCCAGCCACTCAGGCTCAGTTTTAACTATTAAGTGAGATAACCTCAGTGCCTATTTAGTATAATAGCTGGCCCCTTGTTAGGGGGAAAAAATTGTTTTAGAGCTTTACTGAGGTATACTTGAAGTATAGTAAGTTCCACATATTTAAAGTGTAAAATTAGATGAGTTTTGATATATGTACACTGTGAAACCATTACCACAATCAACATAATATCTTCTCCAAAAGTTTCTCCAAAAAGTCCCTTTGTAATTCATACTTCCCTCTCCCTAAGCAACCACTGATTTGGTTTCTGTCACTACTGGTCAGTCTGCATTTTCTAGAATTCTGTATAAACAGAACCACAGAAACTGTACTTTCTTTTGGTTTGGCTTCTTTCACTCGGCATAACTGTTTCGTGATCCATCCATGTTGTTCATTCCTTTGTACCGCTATTATTCCATCGTACATGTGTACACACACTTTTTTTATTCATTCATCTGTGGTAGATTTGGATATTTTTAGTATTTGGTTATTACAAATAAAGCTGCCATGATCACGTGTGGACAAGTTGTATGGACATACGCTTTCAGTTCTCCTGGGAAAACATCTAGGAGTAGGATGGCTGGGTAGAATGGCAGGTATTATGCTCAACTTTTAAAAAAAGTGCCAGACTGTTTTCTAAAGTGGTTGGCCCATTTCACATTCTTACCGGCAGTATATGAGCGTTCCAGTTGCTCCATATACTCACCAAAACTTGGTATGGTCAGTCTTTTTTTTTTTTTTAAGATTTTATTGGGGAATTGAGAGAGGGAATGGCGTTGGGGAATCGGGGAAGGGGAACTGAGAAGTTGCTGTCCTTTTTGTTCTTCAGTCTAGTTGTGGAGGACATTGCTTCACTGGCCCATTGTTAGTATTATCATTGCACGCTTCCCGAGTGAGGCAGATCAGTCGCCGGGCATTGGACGGCTGCTCACGCTGGCTGCTGGCCACTCACGGTAGCTCACTGTAGCCCCACTGCAGCCTACGCTGTCGCCAGCGACACAGCAGACCAGCTCCAGGTCAAGCTGTTGTTCACCATCTTTTTTTTTTAAACCCAGGCAGCCTGATGCTAGGGGTCCTTATTCTTTTTTTAAAGGTTTTACTGGGGAATTGGGGAGGGGGAACAGACAAGCCGCCGTCTTTCCACTCCTCAGACTAGCCGTGGAGGACGTCGCCCCATGGGCCCATGTTGGCATCATCATTGTGCTCCACCCGGGCGAAGCAGTTGGTTGCTGGCCACCAGACGGCCACCCACGGCAGCTCACCTCAGCTGCTAGCCACTCACACCGGCTGCCAGCCACTCACGATAGCTCACGGCAGCCCACTGTAGCCTATGCCATCGCCAGCGACCCACGGCAGCCCAGCTCCAGGTTGAACTGTTGTTCACCATCCTAGCTGCAGAGGGCCCAGTGTCACGGGCCCTCATATGTGGGATCCGAACCGGGGCCCTGCTGCCCAGAGCTGGCTTCCCAAGGCAACTCCCAACCAACGTGCCACTCGGCCGGCCCTGTTGTTTACCATCTTAGCTGTAGAGGGTGCAGCATCACTGGCCCATGTGGGAATCGAACTGGCGGCCCTTTTGCTCAGAGCTCGCGCTCTTAAGCTAACTCTTAACCAACTGAGCCACTCGGCTGGCCCTCAGCTTGTTAACTTCTTTTAAAAAGAAGTCTATTGGGGGCCGGCTGAGTGGCGCTGAGTGGCGCGATGGTTAAGAATTGGCTTGTGACACCAGAGGGCCCCGGTTCGGATCCCACATATGAGGGCCGGTGGCACTGCCCTCTACAGCTAAGATGCTGAACAACAGCTCAACCTGGAGATGGGCTGCCGTGGGTCGCCGGCGATGGCGTAGGCTGCAGCCCCTGCTGCAGTGGGTTGCCATGGGCTACCGTGTATAGCCAGCCCTGAGAGCGGCCAGCAGCGGCAGTGAGCGGCCGTCCAGAAGCCGGAGACTGATCTGCCTCGCCCAGGAAGAGCGCAATGATGGTGCCAACTTGGGCCAGTGAAGCAACGTCTTCCACAACTAGACTGAAGAACAAAACGACAGTAACTTGTCTGTTCCCCTTCCCCCAATTCCCCAGCACTGTTCCCATCCCCCCAATTCCCTAGTTAAAAAAAGAAGTCTATTGGAATTTTCACTGAAATTATATTCTAGAGATCAATTTGGGTAGAAATGACAAGAATATGGAGTAATCCAATCCATGAGCACACTATAACTCTCCATTTACTTAGATGATGTTTTTAATTTTCTCTCAGCAATATTTGGAAAATTTTTTTGAGAATCCTAGAAATTATTACTGACACCAAGTCAGCCGGTCCACGCCATCTATTCCCTTTCCCTTAGGTCTTCTGGTAGCTCATTACTTCAACAACAATCTCATAACTCCTCTTAGGCACATATAATCAGGATAACATGGCCAAAACTGAAGACTGCCAGTAAAATAGACACTTAAAGGAGGTTGAAAATATTAAGGTCTCAGGTGCTGCATCCAACATTCACTTATACTGACAGATTGAGATCCAGATCAGGAAGGGCTGAAATGTATCTAAAAAGCCAGAGGCTTATTGGGCCAAACTCACATGATTTCATAAGGCTGAAAATCTCACTTATCAACACAATCAACATATGAGCATCTTTGTTAAATTAACAGAGCACTGTAACAAGATAGTATGGAGCATAAAGAGATTGGTTAGAAAACATCTGTGTTTGGCAAAATTCATAAGCAATCTTCATATATTCACCAGAAACTTACTGTTGGACAGGTCTGAGCCCGGTTCCAGATCAAATCAAACTTCTTTTCCTGTAGGTTAGAAAAGAATCAAATTCACAAACAAGAAAACATAAAAGGCCACAATCACATTTAAATTCACCAAGGCCAGACTCTAGTACTAAAATGCAACTACAACAATCTCTTAAGTTCCATCATTTACAAATCCCTCTTATGACAGGGAAGGAAAACCAGATGGGTGCTTTGTTGTTCAGTGTCAGAACTGTGGGTGAACAGTGTATACTCCAAATGCTCCAAACTCTCCAAGGGACTCTGCCAAGTTTCAGAGACATAGGTCACTAAGTCTGTCTGAGGGAGGGCTAAAAAGGCCTGTTCAAACAATGAGCCAGCATTAGAGATCTAAGATATCATGAAAAGTGCAGATCCTTTGGCTGTTGAACTTATGAAGGGCAAGGATATACGAGGTCGGACAATTAAATTCGCCAACTCATCCTAGAAAAAGTGCTACATACCTCATTGCTGAATATCATGACGGTCACCTTCACAGTACTCCCCCGGGAAGCTATGAACCAACACCAGCATCTAGTCCACCCTTCAAAGCAATTTTGGAACTTTTTTTCTGGAATGGGCAGCAGAGCTGTTGTTGTATTACCCTTGATGTCCTGAATGTCATCAAAATGTCTTCCTTTCAATATTTCCTTTATCTTCGGGTAAAGATAGAAGTCATTGGGGGCCAGATCAGGTGAGTAGGGAGGGTATTCCAATACAGTTATTTGTTTACTGGCTAAAAACTCCCTCACAGACAGTGCCATGTGAACTGGTGCATTGTTGTAATGCAAGCGCCATGAATTGTTGGTGAAAAGTTCAGGTCATCTAACTTTTTTACACAGCCTTTTCAGCACTTCCAAATAATAAACTTGGTTAACTGTTTCCCAGTTGGTACAAATTCATAATGAATAATCCCTCTGATATCAAAAAAAGTTAGCAACATCGTTGCAACAAGTTCTCAAACTTCATTGTCCAACCTCGTATATGTATAAGAGATAGAAAAAAAATAGCAATACTTTCACAGCAACCAAAAGGCCTAGCTTTATTTTTCTTTCTATAAGTTTCCTCCTTAATCTTACACTTATACATGTAAGCTCAGTAGATATTTATGTGCTTGATATAAACTTAACCTAAGCTACTTCCCTCTTCAGGGAAGAAGAATAATTAAAGAACTAGCTAATAACCCAGTATATCAAATGTTTTCTTATGGTATAAGTCAGCAGAAGGACATTAAACAAGAAGAAGCCAGCAGCACCCCTTCCCAGTTTCAGATCTGAATGGTCAAGCAGTGGCCGGTGACTATCTCTAAGACAGCAATTTCAAGGAGAAACAAAACAAAACAAGAACATACCACTTGCTAAGGGGAAATGCCAGAAAAAGAACAGGAGGAAGCCCCAAGTCAGTTCAGGTACAGGTCACTTATAAACAAGAAGGAAAGAAAGCTATGCTAGAGGCCCTGTGTCAACGTCCAACGGCTTGGAAAACACCAAAAAGAAATAAAAGACTTGGAAATTGGAAGCTTGGAAATTGCTCAGCAACATGAACCTACACCATGCTCCCTTGTCAGAGACTTGACTCAAAGAGACATTTCTAACCCAGAAAGAGGGAAAACAAGAGCCATAAATATACCATATGGAGCTTCCAATCTTTGGTGCTCAGGGCGTAATAAAAACCCTTAGAGCTATAAATGCAAGTTCTCAAGAGGCAATAAACATAGGAAAAGTAAAGGCAACTGCCTGCTAAGGTTAGAGACCTGACCCTCATGCTATAACACTCTCATTTTCCCCTCCAAACTACTTACAGGAATAACTGCGTAGACTGTATCTTTTGCTGCAAAATACTGCTGCCAAATCTGCAGAAAAAGAGAGTATTCTGTGACATGTGGGTAATCTTTTCAACCTGCGTCAAGAAACAGTGACAGCTTTCATTGCTCAGAGTAATATGCTATTTGATAACAGGGAGGAAAGCCCAATGTAATGCTTTTATTACTAGGACATGATTACAAAAAAGATTTAATACCACTTACTCTTCCAGATGATTAAACTGTAACTCTTAATAACAAATTCTTGTCAGAGAGATGGATTCTATGACCGTGTTAATCATTTCTCTCGAGATGTGCCTTATATGTAAGAGACAAGCTCTTTCCCCCCATCTTCTCTCTCCCCTCCCCAAACCAAAACTCCTAGCCAACTGTGGGCCTTCTCAGAGGGCAGGACACCAGCCATTCAGAACCCAGGGTCTAGAGTCAGACCGGATGCAAATCATCTGCCTACTATGCTACTTTGGACAAATTACTGAGAAATCACTAAATAATATCAATACAACCATCAATAAAATAGCAATAATATCAATCTCACAGGACTGTTGTGAAGGCTGGATGAAATAACGTAAGTTTGTGCTTAGCACAACAGAATTACAATGCAAACCAGAGCCAAGGAGCTCCGAGGGCAACAAAGAGGCCCTTAAACTCAGTTAGGGAAGGAGTGCCAAAGGAGGGGACACTTGAGGTGTATCTTAAAAAATGATCAGGAGTTAGCCAGGTGAACAGGGAGGCTGGGAAAATAAAGGTAGGATAGAAGAGACACATTCTAAGCAGAGAATGACAGCATTAGCAAAAGCATACAAATAGGGGAAAGGCATCATAGCCAAGGTGACACTAGTGAGCTGGTGCTGAAGAATGGGGTCACCCTCTGTTAGAGTTGCTCTGTTTTGTTAACATTTCCATTAAAATGGGGAGCCCCAAATGACGATACTAGTCAAAGTGTGATCTAACCAACAGAGCACAGAAGGACTATTACTTCCTAGGACTTGGGGAAATTACTCTTTCAAGCCTAAGGTTGCTTTGCTTTTTTTTTTTTCCCATGTCAAAACACTGTCTTCTCATTTTAAGGATAGACTATCCTGCTTATTTTTATTTAATTTATATTAATAGTTTATGAAACAACACTGAAATATATGAGCCTGTTAGATGTTTCCTAACATGACTGACCTTGGTTACTCAAAATTATTTTAACAAACACAAATTTGCATCTATTAATAAAATTATAGGTCTAAATGATATTTGTCATATGATCAGGACTCCTGTGCCTGGCTTCTCTTTTCCCGAAAGGACATGCTTGGTGTCTACTTTCCATTGGCACTTCTTCCCGAAGGCAGTTTAAGGTCTCCTTGAGACTTTGCATACGCCTCTATTAACCCTGTGTCTGTCCTTCCATAAGGTTAAAACTCCTTGAGACAAGGAGATTCTTTTATTTTCATGTCTGGCACACAGGCTAGCGTTTAATAGGTAGTCAATAAAAGCTGGCTGACATGAATGATATTAGCACTCAAAAGAAAACCATGGCAATTAGCACAACTTCCCAGAAGGATGCAGTCAAACAGACATGGGTTTGAGTCCTAGCTCTACCACTGACTGAGTTACTTAATCTCTTTAAGTTAGTTTCCTCAGCAGTGAATTGGGAATAATACAACCTACTTTACAAAGTGGTTACGAGAATTTAATGAAAGTATATATGAAGCACTAAATACAGTACCTGACACATAGCATGCTGCTTTTGTTATCATTTTGATTCTCTTAATATTCCTAAAATATAATTCATGAATCTATAAGGAACACCAATAGCTCATTAAAGTCTAACTAGAAAAAAGAATCACAGACACGAAAATTTCAATAGCAATGCAAATCAAAATATATGGAATGACCAAACAGGCAGGATAGATCAAGACTGCTTTGAAGGAAGGTGTCCAGGAAGCTTCCTACAGAAGCTTCTATAATAATGGAGGACTCTGAATGCCAAGGAAAGGAATATGGGAAGTCACTGAACATATGCAATCAGGTTACGAAAATATTTATTTTTATTCATTTATTTAAAACACATTATAGCACTTACTCTGCCAGGCACTTTTCTAAGTGCTTAATTCCCCAAATAACTCTAGGAGTTAAGTACTATTATTTTCTCCACTTTACAGATAGGGAAACTAAGGACTAGAGAGGTTAACTATTATAACTTATCAAAGTCATCCAGCTAGTAAGTGGCAGAGCTAGGACTTAAAAAAGTCCTCAGTTCTAGAGTCTGTGTTTTCACTAATACATTATGCTTCTCCATAATGAAAGCAGAACTGGTACGGATGTGATAGGGGAAGTGGGAGTGTGAGAGATGAGAGCAGGCAAACCTATTTAGAAAAGTAGTACAGTAATCCAGGTAATGAGTACTGATGATTTTAAATAAGATGGGGCAACAGGAATGAAAAAGGAAGGGGAAATGTGAGTTGATGAGACACAGGACTGAGACCGAGAAAGACAAGTTTTCTTACGCCACTATTTTCATGTAATTCATCACTTTTGTTATCTATGACCACCTTTCATTTTGGCTAGAAAGCGGTGTCAGGAGATGTATGCTCCTTTCTACTTTCAGATTTGGTTCACAGAGCACACATTTTCATAAAGCATGCCAACCCATTTTCATTCACTACCTGTTTTATTTCTTCAGCAGTTTTGTCTTTCACCATCTCGATGTTAAAGATTGAACTGAGAGTCTGAAAGAGAAACATAAAGGCAATTAACACCCACAACTTAAAAACTAAACAGCTTCACTCTATGTGTAAGCTTGTAGGAGGCAGACCTTCCCATAGTGAAGCAGATCTTCACTAAATAGAAAACGAGTATGAGAAAACCTGCATGCTCAGAGAAGTGAGCCCCCAAGCCCAGGCAGGTTGGTGCAGTTCTATTCCCAGGAGTATCTACAGGTACTTCCCAAATGCTTCACCCCCACAGTGAGCGCTGTGGCACTGTGCACCTGGTAAGAGGAGAAAGTTTGGTTATCTTTAATTTAACTGCTATTCTGCCAGGAGTGGCTCTATTTGCAAAGTAAATGACAGAGTAAACATGTTTTTATTTGACTTTTTAAAAATTAACTCCTATAGAAAGGAAAGATATCAGTATATTTCCTTCATATTTCTGCTAGCACCCCAGAACCCATACTATGCCAAAGGTCACATCAAGGACACAAAAATTCATAGAAATACTTTTCATCTCCACTGTTGGTAAGTGACAAGATCACTGAACCACAGTAAATGTGTTCCAATCTGCAGCCTCTTGCTATGGATGTTCCAAGTGGCTTCAGACTTGGATATTTAATTAGAAACCTACCTTGTCCTTAGTGAATCCTCTGCTCATAGGGTGTTTTCCCAAGGTGTCTGTCTGAAATACATAATAGACAGGATATTACTCTATACTTCACCCAGAGGAAAAAGATCACCAAGATAGGTCCGGTGTCCAATATCTCATTCAGTACTTTTGCACCTGAGGATTCACTTCTCTCCACTCTATATAGTAACTACACACACTGTCCTAAGAGTTACTGTTTGTGAGACAACTTTTCTTTGGCTAAGCTTCTGAGATACAGAAATGAGAAAGGATTCCTTTGTTAATAAGCAACATCTACTAATACTGAGAGTCCATTCTATACCTGTCACAATGGATATGAGGGACTCCTTCTCAGAACGAGGGCTGCTTGGATTTCCTGTGCTCTGCCTTTTGCTCTGCTCCACAGTGAGCCACAGAGGAGATGAGAAATGGAAAGACGCTATTTTCCAAGGCTGTTGCTTATCTGTGTCAGCTCTTCTGATGGCAAGCATCCTCAGCAGACTTTTTTCCTAGTACTCAGTCTTAATATCCCCTCATCAAGTTAGACTCTCCCTCAAAAAAAGGCTAAAAAATGACTGAAAGTGATTATTTTTCTCTGCTAGCCCACTATCTCTGATGAAGGCCAGTCGGGAAATCCTATTTTGAGTTGTTTCTGATAGTGGGGTTTTTCTGAGTTGTCCACTCAGTTTCTCAGTTCAAGACCATACCTTTCAGAGGGTAAGAGTACATCCTACACCTGGCATTCTAAAACTGAAAAAACACTTTCTGCATAAAACCCTGCCTTTTGTTACTCTGTGCTTTAATGAATCCAAACCTTTCATAAACCCTGCCCACAGAACTTGTACCTACAAATCAGGCAAATTCAGGCAAAAGCCTGGTGTAGAAAACCCTATTGGATACAGCCTGGTCTTTTGGTTATAGCCTACGCAGTAGCAGCAACCTAATGTAGTCTTTACTTCATATGTAAACTGTTCAAAAGAGAGAATGGGTTTCATTTTCATACCACTCACCTTCAGGTGTACTGTGAAAACAAAACAAACAAAACCCTCCATTTGCACAGCTGCCTTCACCTTTGCATCACTAAGACTGATATATTCATTTTCCACAGTGTCCCTCCAATCCAGTCTTCATTTCCATTTTAACTTACAGAAATTAAAAATTTAAGCTCCAAGTATAAGCTTATTGCATCTTATCTAATCTAAGACACCACTGATCTTAAGAAGCACCATTATTTTATGTAACATAAAATGATGCCAATTAAACAATAACAATGCTGTCATATCAATTTTAAGACAATTTTGGAGATACTAAAATGTGAAGAAAAAAAAGTGGATTTTAGGACCTGTGAAATAAGGTAACTAAAATTATAACTGAAACTAATAAACACTGAATTTTTCAGAAATGCAACTATGTAACTTGAGAGAAGACTGCACATTGTGGAATCTCATGAGGGTCACTGATAATAACACTGCTAGGGTTTGGGAGTTTTTATAATTACCAGCACAACACCCCTATACCAGTCAGCATTTGCTGCTTATGTGTTCATGGTGATTTCACATATAGGTGAAAGCATCTGATGACTGCATTAGGTCTCACAGCATAGTTGTGCCCAAGAACATACATACTAAAATATATATTTTATTAAAAAAATGCTTTCCTTTACATTACAGTTGGGGTATTAAGTTGATTTTTTGCCCTGGAAACTATGTGTATAGGTAGGTTATATTGTCTACATTTCATCTCAGGGTAGAAAAGGGAGAATTCAAAAAAATTTATTATTAAAAGGGGATACCGGGTCTCATGTGATAGGGGCCAATGACTCAAAGTAAAGGCTTTGGGAATGGAGCCATTAGCCATTAGCCTTCCTCTATCTAGTTGGGAAAAAAAGACAGTAGGTAAATATTTACCTAAGAGTGGCCATAATTTAAGTGAAATCTTTACTTACTCTATATCTTATTATTAAGTTGAATTTCTAAGTCTGTTTACAGAAAGGAGCAAAGAGCTCTCCCATATAATATAGGAAGTTTATAATGCAGTAATATTTCTAAGAGCTATTATTGACTTATGACCTTGACAGTATAAATGTTTATTGTAGGAAATTACATTTGTTAAAATATTTGTAGTAGAGAGTTGTTTGTTCACATAAAGTTGTAAACTAAGTTTGTCATAGGAGGTTGAATTTGCTCCCCAACCTTGTAGTGATTAACCCATTGACTACTGCTCTTATTCTAATTAACTCAACCAGCTGTTAAAAAACTGAATGGATTCTCTTAAAACTTAGGATACCCAAAGCAAAAAATGTTACTCTCCAGGTAAACATCTCTCATTTTAAAACACAACGTAGAATCCCAATATTCCACTGTAACTACCTTATTTCAGACCCACACAGCCCACACTGGGATTACTGCACATGCTCTCTGGGTTCGGCCTCGCCTACTCCAGTTTGTCCTGTGCATCATCCTAGATGAGTATTTTTTAAATCATAGATTGTGCAATCAATTTATTGGATGGTGGCCAAAGTTTTTTAAAAGATGGAAAAATAATACATTGCATGTAGCAAAAGCATTGTTTTGTTAAAAATTTTGTTTCAGTTATAATCATATACATATTTGTGTACTGAATTACAATGCAAAATATACAGTAATACCTCGGTTTGGGAGCATAGTTAATTCTGGAAACAAACTACTTGTATTGCAAGACATCACTCGTTTACCACGTTAAAATGTATTAGAAATGTGTGCTCGTCTTGCGGGAACACTCGCAAACCAAGTTACTCGCAATGCGAGGTTTAACTGTATTTCTTATTGTGGGTCATGGTCAAAGTTTGAAAAGAACTGCATTAATTACATTAATTTTGCTAAACACAGCTTTCAACATGCTTTTCCCCAGCTTTGATTCTTATTGAAGGATAACAACAGCTATTAAGCATTTTTTTGCCCCCTGATTTCTACAGCCCACTGCCATGTATGCCTTACCTCGCACCACTTGACTACACCCCTGGAAGCAGCAATGACCCTTTCCATCCCTATCTCCACCATGACCACAGGCATTTGCCAGAAAGAGCAGGATACCATTTATGGATGGAGACTGAGCTGAATAGAGAAAGGCTATGTTGCAGTTCATCTGCTGACCCATCAATGAGCCCACTCTCAGGATAAGGTTGGAGTGTGGGGTGTAGAGCACTGGTAAACCAACAACACAAAAAGGGACAGGTATTACCTTTTGTTCCACACATTTGATAAAGTCACCTTGCCTGGAGTGCCCCACTGGCTGCTTCCGAAACTCACTGCGCTTCTCCAGTCGGGACTCAAAAGCAGCTGGGTCAGACCTGATCAAAGGTAAACCAAAAGTTAAACCTCCTGGGTCTTTTCGGATTTGGAAAGAACAAGGCATCACGTTCCACTTCCACAGAGAGGGGACACAGGTATTCACAGGCTGAAGGATTTGTCTTCAGTTAGTTAGGCCTGAGCACAGGCCTACAAATCAAGAAAGTGGAAAAATACGAGTAAATCCAGTTATTCAACTACTGTTAATCTTCAAGAGGCCTACGTAGGTAACAGTCTTCTCCTGCAAGATATCCCCTAGAGTGACACAGAGCTTGGTCCCTCAGATACTTACACTCTGGGTACCTGGAATTCAAACCCTCAAGATGGAAGGGGATTTTGAGCTCATATTGCTGTCACCACCTCAGGCAAGAATCCAATAGCATACCTACTAAGGGTCAAGCTTTTACTCGAAACCATCTAGTTCCTGGACATCTTCTCCCTCATCCCTACCCCCCAGATTAAACATCTGTTTATGCAGATGCAGGTGATTCAGAGGCTTCAGGTAGCCTATTCTGCAGGAGATTTAGCACCTGAGTATCTTTCTGACCCTCTCTAAAGAACCTGCTCCTGCGAGTGAACATCAGAACTTGTCCTTTCTGTCAAAATGGAGCTGGTCCTCAGGCCTGAAATCCAGGTTGGGGCTGCCGCCCTTGTTAAGAACTCTTCAGGCTATGTAGCCGACGATGTGATATTTGGCTCTGTACACTTTGGAGAGGTCATTATACAGGAACTTCAGCTCCGTGGCCATGAGACTTGTAGTGTCATGGGTGATACCTGCAAGATCCAAGGAATCTTGCTCACCTCTCTGCAGGAGTCCTGGCTGGTCAAGGCACTGTAGGGGGCCACTCTTCCATAAACTCCTTTCCAGGGGTGACATGAAACACCACTCTCTTCACTGCCATGTACATGAATCTATCTTCTTCTTTCCCTCTATTACAGGCCAGGTCCTCAGTGTAGTCACTCAAGGGGTCCTACCTAGTGGAGTGTGACAATTACCTGGCGAGGACTACAAGTGCCAGGACCAGGGTGAGTGCTGCCAGCGTCTACAGACACATCTAGGCCTCCCATGGTGAGTGGACAGAGTGAGGGGCAGCTTAGGTAGTGGAGTCTTGTGCCCTCCTGCCTTGGATATTTTATTATTAAAATGCTCTGAGCCTAAATCTCTCTATCTGTATCTTTCACCCCCAGGAACAAGAGAAAATGTCTAATTCCTTTTACAGTACTTGAAAATCACTATTATGTCACCTCCTAAATTTCTCTTCTCTTCAAAAATTTCTTCAGTTTTTTTGGCCCCTTTTCATATATGTGAGTTGTGAATCTTTCCTCACTGTGGACCTGCTCTCTGGACATCCTCCAGTTTGTCCACATTCTAGATTAGTGGGCCTGGAGCTAGATCAAATCCTCCCAATTCATCAGTCCAGACTGTGATACAAAACCCAGATTCTGGGCTGGAGTGGAGTCACGCAGCCTCGTCCTGCTGTTGGCTGACGCCAAACCTATTGCTGGTGTTCCAAGAGCCCAGGTTTTAGGAAGTATGCCCCAGCACTAACCATCAGGACTATAATTCCTTTAAAAACATCCCATGATATCCTACCTATTTGGTCCTGGGCCCTAAGGCCAGGCCCTGTGTTGCCTCTCTCTTCCCTTAACTTGACCAAGTTTCTACTGACCCTTTTTTGGCCCTGCTTTTCTATTTACCTTTCCATCTACCTCATTCTCATGCTCTTTTTCTTTTTATAGCCACACAAATTGTATCCATTTCCCTCCCATCTCCCCAACTCTTGTCTCACTCAGCTGCTTCTAGGACTTACCCTGTCCCCTCTCCTTTTCATTCATTCAACAAACTTTACTTGTTGTCCCTTGCTGTTGTTTATCTTGCTGTACTCTGGTGATACAAATATAAATGAAACAGAGTCCCTACCTCAAGGAACTTACTATCTAATGCAAGGGACAGACATGTAAATAAGTAAAGTGCTTAGGGTATTACGATGAAAATTTGCTCCAATATTCTCAAATGATTGAGGTGCTTTCATGCCTCTGTGCCTCTGTACCTCTGTACCTTTGCTGGTACTGCTCCCCTTACCTGGAACATCTTCCCCCAACCCCATTCCCATATTCCTTTGTGCTAGACCACGGGATGGCAAACCGCGGCTCGCGAGCGACATGCGGCTCTTTCGGTACGTTCCATCTCAAAAGTTTGCCGATCTCTGGAAGAGCCAATCCTGTCCCTCACAACAATTTAAAAATTACTCGAGAGCCATAAATATATTTTTACATAATCACCATTATGTGAATAAAATCCTTTAAAAATTTTATAAATGAAACTATGATAGTTTTATTTTCGTTCTCAATTTTACTTCAGAGCCACATGTATGTAACCAAAGAGCCGCATATGGCTCTCAAGCTGCAGTTTGCTGACCCCTGGCTGCTCTTCCGTCTCAAAAGTTTGCCAACCCCTGTGAGACCATAGTGCTCAAAGAAAGTTTTGGTAATAAAGCTAGAGAGACAAGGCTCACAGTATGAGAGCCTTGTGTGGAACACGAAGGAATATGGACACTATCCGGAGATCAGTGGAAAGCTCACACTTCGGGAGACAGCAAATATGTATAAATGTTGGTGGGAATGACCCAGTGGGGAAGGAAAGTAAAACCAGTCATTCATTTGTTCACGAGTAAGAATATAGGGGAGCTGTGAAGTATTCAGAGTATGAAGAGACAGTTCTGAGATGCCTGTTTGTGAAAGGGATCAATGAGAAAAGGCTGAAGGGGAAGGTAGATTAAGGAAAGGTCTTTAAGATGGCAATGCTTGAATACATCTGATGCTGTTGGAAGGAGAGCAAAAATATTCATTTATTTACCCCGTCATTCTTTCAAAATGAGAAGTAGCAATGACAAAGACTGGGATGGAGGGGTTTAAGACTGGAAGTGGGGAAGACTAGCTAGATCAGCAGTTCTCAACTGTGGGTCTCGACCCCTTTGGGGGCCGAACGACCCTTTCACAGGGGTCGCCTAAGACCATCGGAAAACAAAAAGATATTTACATTACGATTCATAACAGTAGCAAAATTACAGTTACAGAGTAGCAACGAAAATCATTTTATGGTTGGGGGTCACCACATCATGAGGAACTGTATTAAGGGGTCGCGGCATTAGGAAGGTTGAGAACTGCTGAGCTAGAGGATGTCAGCAAGAGCCAGGCAAAGACGATGGAGTATATTAAGGCTGTGGAAGTAGAGATGAGACGAATTCAAAGAAGTTACAGTACTCAGTGTTTGGTTTCCTTTCATAAGACAACTGCCTGCCCACCCTGCCAAACTGTCTCCCAAGCCCCCTTTAATTTTCACCTTTGACCTCCTTCAGCTCTTTCTATTTGAACTCTTCAGACCCTTCCATGGCCCCCTTACACCCACCTCAACCTCCTCTAATCTCCAGGTTCTTTCATCTGGAAGCAGAGGGGTAGTGTTAGGAACCCTGGATTCCAAGTCAGATGAATCCCAAACAGCTGTGTGACCTTGGGTTGGTCTCTTACTCTCTCTGATCCTGTTTTCCATCATAAAATGAGAGGGTTCAATGGACCATCCAACTATAACACTACTAGTCTTTGATGTCCTGCTCCCACCTCCAATCTTCTTTACAGGAAGCAGAGAAGACCAGCTAGAGGGCACTTTCCTCGCAGGAGCTTGGGAACAACAGTTCTAGGCCAGCTGACTCAATATGTGACCTTGCGAGAGTCAAGTCCCTTCTCTGGAAGGCTCCATTTTCCCCTTTCTAGAATGAGAACAGGCGTCTTGGAACCGCCTGTTTAATCAGGTCTGTCCTCATAAGAGTCTACCTCAGCGTTTTGAGAACTAAAGCACAAAGACAGGAAACTGGGGGAAGAGCCAGGGCTTTGTAGTCTCTCAGTTCTAACACCAGTTGTATGACATTAAGCAAGTGACCCTGCCTCTGAGCCTAAATAAATCATCTGTCGAGTGGGGCCAGTATGCAGTGCCCACCTCGCATGGCTGTTGTAAGCTCCGAAAGCGTCAGACACACCAAAACCGAGGGCCGCGCGCCGCCTCTCCTCCCTGCACACCCCCACCCCACCGGGGCCCGCACCTGCGCAGCTGCTGGATTTTGTCGCGGTAGCGGTCGTAGAAGGGGTTGGCCTTGAGCTCTTCCCGGACCCCGCTGCCGTCCGCACCCCCAGCGGCCCGTTCCGAGCCACAGCGCACCGGGAACACGCGCAGCTGCGCGGGTGACACGAGCCCCAGGCCCAGGCCGCGGCTGCGCACCGCGCACAGGCCCCGATAGAGGCCGGCCACCTGCAGGACGGCCACCTGCAGGACGGCGGGACTCGCGCCACCAGCAGCCGCAACCACAGCGGCCATGATACCCCCCGCCTCCTCTTCGTCCTCCAGCGCGTCGGCCTCGGCCCCCGGCCCGCGCGCCCGCTCCATCGCGCTCCGGGTCCGCCGCTCCGGCGCTCCGGCCCCGAAGTTCCGCGCGCCCGAAGTTCCGGGCTCCAGCGCAGGGCGAAGCGGGGCGGGCTGGGAGGAGGGGGGCTCAATGCTCTGGCCCTGTCTGCGCGCCACCGCCCGCCGCCCGCCGCGTCCCCGGAGCCTGCCCGGATCCACGCCCTCAGGCTCAGGACCAACAGCCTCTACCCTCCAAGTCTTCTCATGAAAGCCGCTCGGATCGTCCTCACCGAGCTTGCTCCCTTTTAAATTCTCTAGGCGCTCGCAGTAGTAGTCGTCCTTCAGCTTGCAAGGCCCTTTCATCAACTGTAATCACAAGAGCAGCTTCTCTTTACTGAGCGTTTCTATGTCCAGGACACCACTTGCTTCACACACTGCAAGGCAGGTTTTTTCCTCATTTTACAGATGAAGAAACTGAGGCTGAGAGTCATTCAGAGACTTGTCCTAGTTCTACTGAGGCCTGAACTGCTTTCAAGATGTCAGCTGCCTCTCAAGCCCTGTCTCCCTCTGCTTCCTGACATCCACCTTGAACTCTAGCCCAACTGAACCACTCTCCTCCCCAGAGACACCTGGATTTGTCCTCACAGGTCTTAATTAGGCTATTTTTGATCCCTGAAATGCTTTCTCCTTCCTCTGGCTCCACTCAATGCCACTGTCTTCTTCACCCCTCTTCCTTCCTCCCCAACCAGGTGTGAGCTCCTGGGGTCAGAGACAGTGACATCAACATCTCTGTGTGTCATCTGCTCCCAGCACAGGGCAAGACCTGGAGCAGGCCCTCTGCAATGGCACTGGTCAGTTTGCCTTCATGCAAGTCCTTTCTGTCTGGGTCTTACCTGATAGAAACCCTTCCTAAATAGTAGTCTGCTCAGGGGCAGGGACAGAGCCTTCAACTCTGCTCATTTCAGCCTGCACTCATAGATACTGGTCCTGGGCCGTGGCCTGGGAGTAAAGAGGCAGACTCTGAGATTAGTAAGTCCTTCAAGTGTGCCAGCCTGTACCTGCCTCAGGACCCTTGCACTGGCTGATCCTTCTGCTTGGATTTGCACGTGGCTGCCTTCTCATCATTTAGGACTCATTTCACAAGTCAGCGCCTCAAAAGGACCCCACATCCCTTATAATCTTTATCCCATTACCTTATTTTATTCTCTTCATAGCAATTATGGTTATCTGAAATTCTTGTTTATTTCCTTGTTTATATTAATTTAGGGAGCTTGCATTCTAGTGGGGTGAGACACAATAAATATATAATGTTAGGTGATGATACATGCTATTTATGGAAAAAATCCCCACAAAAACAGGCTAAGAGAGTAGAGATAGGGGATCCTTGAGCAGGACCTGAAGGAAATGAGGGAATGATCTATGTGGATGTCTGGGGCAAGAGCCTTTCAGATAGAAGGAATGGCAAATGCAAAGGCCCTGATTCAGGACCATGCTTGGCCTGTTTGTGGAATAGCAAGGAGGTTATTGTGTGAAGGAGGTATGGGGCAGGTAGTTAGATTGCTCAGGGCTTTGTAGGCCTTGGTTAAGGACTTTAATTTGAAATCTGAGTGAAATGGGTAGTCACTGTAGTGTTTGAGCAGAGAAATAACATGACCTACTTTTTAAAAGGATCATTCTGGCTGCTGGTGGACAATAGGGCATGGGGAACAAGGATGGAAGCTCTCCCAAGGGTCACAGATTTGTCCTGGTTTACCTGGGACTTTCCCTGTTTTCAGCATCAAGTCCTACATCCTGGAAACCTCCTCAGTCCTTGGCAAACTGGAATGGTTGATCACCTAACAGGGAGACCAATAATCCAAGCGAGAGATGGTGGTGCTTCAAATGAGGTGATAGTGATAAAAAAAGTCGTCAGATTCTGGGTATGTTATGAAAGCAAAGCCTAAAGATTTTGCTAATGGAGTGAATGTGGTTGTGAGAGAATGAAAGGAGTCAATAATAACTTATAGGCTTTTGACCTGAACAACTGGAAGGATTGAATTGCCATTTACGGAGAGGAGGAAGGCTGAAGTAGGTTTTAGAGGGTGAATGATCAGGAATTTGTTTCTGGACATGTTAGTTTGAGATCACTTAATAGACTGGCAAGTCGGGATGTCACCACGCTGTTGGGTGAATGAGCCTAAAGTTCTGAGGAGCGGTCTGGGCTGGAGAAACAAAGTTGTGAGTTGTCAGTGTATATATGCCATTTAAAACTATGAGTCTGAATGAGATCACTGAAGGAATGAATGTAGGTAGAAGGCTAAGGACTGAAGCCTAGGGCATGCTAACATTTAGAGATCAGGGAAAAGAGGCGAAACCAGCAAAGGAGACTGAAAAGCAGGAGCCAGTGAGGTAGGAGGAGAGCCAGGGTAAGCGGAACCTGGAGAGAAATCTGTGCTAAATAATGCCCCAAGTCACGTGCTGGGGCACTATAACGAAGGAAATAATTAAATGGAGCCAAGAAGATAGGCTGGGCCCAGGGGTAGTACAGGGAGGCTGACTTGGGCTTAATTAGGAAAGGGCTTTCTAACTGAGCTGCCTGTAAATACATCAAGCTGCTTCACATGGTGTGAGCAAGTCCCTGACCCAAGCATATCCCAGGGGATGAGTTGCTGGGTAGTCCCAGGGGCGATCTACCTCTGGGGCTCAAACATCTGATGGGAATTGGACTAGACAACTCTCAAAACCTCTTCAAACTGGGGATAATGGGATGCTGGGAAGCCAACTGAAACAACTGTTACAGAGTAAGGGGGTTGAACTAAGCCTTGAAGGATAAGCAGTTGTTCAGTGGGGGGGAAAGAGTGGGGAGGGGCACTTACAGGTAGAGGAGCAGTGTGAGCAAAACTCCAGAGATGTGAATAAGCAGGCTCTGTTAAGGAGTCTGGCCTGATCAGAAGGAAAGGTGTGTGATGGATGGGGAGGAAGGTGAGGCTAGAAAGAGATGTAGGGACAGATGGTAGGGAGCCTGGTGCCAGGGCTCCCACAGGGCCTGGTGTCCAGGAAATGCCACTTGTTGAAGGTAACGAAACAAAAGCGTAAGAGCCAAGAAAGGAGGCATTAATCGGTTCCCCTAAGTAGGTTTTCTCCCGACAAGTTGGTCACAGACATCTTGAGGGCAGGGCTGCTGCCCAAAGCTGTGTGTGCTCCCTGTCCCATTTCCCACTGGGGACAGGTATCCATCAACTGTTCCTTAAAGCACAGCAACATGGCTAAGCCCCTGAGGGAGCTGGGGCCCTTTCCTGGGGGCTGTTCTGTGGGTTCACCATAAGGGGTATGGAACAGACAGTTCAGTGTGTGGGCCAGTCCCTGATAGAAGCAGTAGATATACACTATGATGCCATTGGATGGAGTCCAATTAACCTAAGACTTCACAAGCACCGCCCTGGGAATGCTCAATGCTCAGAACCCAGTGACCTCACCTTTAGGGAACAATGGGGCTTAGGCATTCCTAGGACTCCTATTGGCTGGACAGATGGGTAAATGAGCTCCCTCTCTCCAAAGCCACCAGCCAGGTACCAAGGCTCGAACTTATGGATTCCCAACCGGAGGACCTGAGCCTCCCTGATGGTAAATGCCCTTCCAATCCCTGCCCCTTGTTTTGTGCCCTTAGCTTGGGGGCACTCAAAGAACACCTTTTGCATGGATGGGGTGGTGGCTGCCTGCACGAAGGAGTGCTAAGCAGTTAAGATATGGTTTCATCTAAGGATTCTATGGAAAACTAAGGATTCTTTGAGGCTAGAATGGTACTATGAATACCCTAGGACCATCACAGCTGAATGGGTAAAGCGTGTGGTGGAAAGGAATGGGACACTGGTGTCCCTGTCAACTGTTAAACTTTTACTTCTTTGATGAGCCTTGCCCTTAGTGAGGCTCCCCAATCTGGTGGATTGCGTGGTTCCAGGGCTGGGAACCAGAGGCTTGACTAAACTCAGACAGGTCATACCCCCACCCCCTGACCTAGCATTCCTTATCTCTAGAGGGCTAAAGTGGCCTCTTAAATCTAGCTTTGATTGAACAAGAGAATGATGTGGTAAGTCAATGAGGAGGGAGGGAAGGAATGAAGAGAGAGGTTAAGTGGATGGAATGATGGATGAATGGGCTAAAAGAGCACTGAGCTAGAGCTGTCAGCCAGCTTGCCTCTTCTTTTTTCTTATTGCCTTAGTGTGGGTCTCACTGTACTTTGGATTCCTGGGGCTGTGTTCTGTGGTAACCGGTGGGTGCATTCTCTTTCTGCACCGGAGGAAGAACTTGCGGCGGGAAAAGCATGCCCAGGAGTGGGTAGAAGTGATGAGAGCCGCCACATTCACCTACAGCCCGCTGCTGTACTGGATTAACAAGCGAAGGCGCTATGGCATGAACACAGCCATCAACACAGGCCCTCCCCTTCCTGTCACCAAGACTGAGACTGAAGTCCAGAGTTCAGATCCTCTGGGGCAGTTGGACAGCTCTGAGAGGAGTCATGCTGCCCAAGAGAGAAGCCCCAATGTGGAGGCCCCAGTCCCCCTGCAACCTGCATTGCAGCCGGTCCCACAGCAGCCCCTACTTTCTCCAATGCTGCGGCCCCACGCCAGCTCCTCACTCCCAATTCCCATCTTTCAGGAGGTGCCCTTGGCCGTCTCCCTGTGTAACCTACCCCCAATGCTGAATCACTCGGTCTCCTACCCTTTGGCCACCTATCCTGAAAGGAATGTCCACTTCCATTCCCTCCCCACTCTGGCCCATGGGGACCACTGCTTCAATGCCAAGCCTTTTGCTTCAGAATTGTAGCCTCCTCTCACTGAAGGTGGAAGCTGGAGGTATTGGGGCAAAGCAGGAAATGGAGCTAAACTCAGGGAGGCGGTATTGACACAGGCCAGAGCGCATCTGGATGTTATCACATTATGAACAATTAAAAAAGTTCAAGGCTCCGTTTTGTCTCAGTTGTTGTTAGGAGGGCAAAGTCCTTCCCATTAAAAGAGGGGCATTTTGCAAGCCAAACTGAGGTGACTGGGTCTCAGCAACACAAATCAGAATTAGAGGGTTGGCTGTGGGAAGTCACACTGACCTAGTACTTGTGATGGGCTCAACAGCCCTCTATCCAGTACATATTTACATCCAAAAACGTATGCCAGACCCTGGCCTAGGTACCCAAAAGCACTGCCGTTCTATAGGACATTAAGCACAGCTGCCATAAGAATGATAGCTGTGGGTGTGTGAGCTATGGCAATTCATAGTGGCCACGATGCAGACAAAACAAGTCATTTTGAGAGCTATGAATTCCACTGCTCCACTGGCGGAATCACATTCTTTTCCTATGTGTATTGAGTTCTTACGTGGTCATCTCTACATTATTTCTAATATAAGAACACTGCCAAATGCAGATCATGACCCTCCTCTTACAGATGAAGACATTTCCCAAGGGCATTTGCCATATTGTTTTTATGCTGCGAAGTCTCAAATTTACATCTGCCTGGCATCCAAGTTCTTGATCTTCCCACCATACACTATGATGTCCCTTCCCTAATGTCTTGTTAGAAAACACTTGGCAAATGATTTTCTGTGTGTAGGGTGCAATTAACTTGGTCCATGGATTGGCTTGGACCCCCTAAAATTATACACAGAAATGTATCCATAGGTTTTTGGTTTTTTCCCCTCAAAGGGATTCATGGCTCCTCCAACAGGTAAGATCCACTATATGGGAATATTAATTTTTGTACCTTCTGGAAACCATCCTAAAAGGAGACAAAGATAATACTGGCTACTTGGTCCGTTTAAAGATAAGAAAGGTCAGGTCTGCCCAAGGATATACCATTTTTCCTTTTACTTTGGAAATAAGGAAACCATCTTACTATACTTGGTAAGAGGCTCAGGTGAGCTAAGCTTTACGTAGTCTTCACTGAGGGGAAAGGCCTTCCAGGTTGTGCATGTAATCCCAGAATCTAGCAACCACATAGAACTAATTTTGCTATTTTTCTGTGTGTGAAAAAGCACTAGCCCCTATATGACCCCTCTCTTGTAATGGATTTCAAGCCGCCTTCTTTTTCTTTTTTTCAACAGTGGAAAATTTCTTATAAACATGCTCTTATATTGAATCTCAAAATATAAAACAGGCATAAGTGGAGTTTTCTGGTTGATACAGGAGCAGCTCACTTGTCCCTTTTCCCATCCCCTCCCACCCTGCAGATGCCAAAGCAGCAGCCTTCTTTTCTTCAGGCCAAATCCTGCCGTTCGTCAGGCAGATTCTTCCACATTACGCTGTGCCCACCATCTGTTAGTCCTTGCTTTCGAAAGGAAACAGGCCATAAAAATAGGGATCAAAGCAGACACACACACACACACACACACAGAGTTATTTTTCCCTTAGAAATCAAGGGTGGGGAGAGCCTTTAGTCATAGACACAGTGGGAGAAAAGGGAAATGTTTTATTTAGATAAATTAAAATGCTTGTATTACTGATATGAAGTAAGCAAAATTTAAATCAAGTCATGGAAACCTTGAATTCACTCCCTAAACAGAACCAAAATTGCTTATACATTACCAAAATAGCTCCACTAAAGCAAAGTAGATTGACATTTTTTAATGTGAGAAAACAACAAGGTAGGTTAGGTTCATATAACAAACAATACACGCTCTATAAAGTCTCAGGAATACCCAAATGTGTTCCGTTTGGATATGAAAGAAGGGACTGCATCTAGCTTGTGTTGGTAAGCAAGCCAATGAGGTGTGTATCAAACGAAAGCTGTCACTAAAAACAACCCAACAGCAGGCCATTATGAGTATGAGCCTATCACAGTCAAAATCTTCAACTGTGACCAGCAAAACCAGCGGGGGCATCAAGGGGGTTTGGCCCAGCCACGTAAAGTGAAGAAACACGTACGGGAGGGAAAGTGGCTAGCAGGAGGTGAAGGGTGTCCACTTGTTAGCTTTGCTGTTTCAGACACATTTCTAAGTGCCAGGTCCTTCTCTGCTCGTAAGTCAATACTACAGCCATCCCTAAGCCGGGTTCTCTCTTCTTTTGGCTCATCTCTTCCTGCAATACCTTTTTGCCTCTGATTTATAAGGAGGCCCTCTAAGTAAACATTATGCCAGACAATATAAGGCAGAAGAAAAAAAGGACCAAGAAAGAGTGAGTGCTTTGGGTAACTCAGGCAAGCAGCAGGAGCTGCCAGAGTGACACGGTCAAAGTATTTGAAACCAAAACCAAAACCAAACTCACCATTACTACTCAACCTTATTCTCAGAGCTGAGATATGGAAGGTGAAGCTTGATTATAGTTAAACACAATTCATACGTTGGGTAAGTTAAGACAATTTACAAATAAAAATCCCAAATTAACACTAATAGATTTATGAGGCTCTTTTCTTAAGCCAATGAGTCTGAGCAACTTAAAGGAGTTCCAGATGCCCTAGTTCTGCCTGGGAGATAGGGCACTTTCCTAGGAAGCACGAAAGGGTATTCATAGGTCTAAGAATGTAGCAGGAATACCTCTGCCAAATTTGGGAGGGGGAGGGGATGGTACTATACACCTGGCTCAGGGATGATGCTAGCCAGACAAGCTGGCGGTGAGAAGAAACGATGATAAAAACAAAACCAACTCCTCCATGGGTAGCCCTCCGATATGAAAGAAAAGAACAACAAAGAGTTAAGGTGTCCTCAAAGTATCTGCCTATGAATAAGAATTTGAAAATAAAAAGGACAAGCTACATTACCCTCAAGTATATTTCATATAAATCAGTTCTCAAAAAAATACCTTCCAGGTACAGGCATACTATTTAGGGTACAGTATATACAAATATAGCAGTATAATTCAATTTATTGCTAGAATGTTATTTGGTTGTTACAAAGTCCGTAAGGGTGTATACATTAAAAAAGGGGGGTGGGCATGGAAGGCTGCCAGAAGAGTAATCTTCAAGGTCCTAAAGTGCCAGGCTAATTTTATACTATATTTTAACCTTTCCAAGAAAGTGAAATAGCTCAGATGGGCAAGGGAAATGTCTGTTTTTTTAAAAAGAGAGAAGCATAAGCCATAATGAGGTAAGCAGACACATTCATGGGAAAAGACTTCATCTTGCTTTAACTAGATTTTAATACTTCCAGGAAAAAAAAAAATCAAGGTTAGCCAACATCAAGCTGATTATCATATAAAGAAAAAAAAAAAAGACCCCAACCCTTAAATATTAAGGGTTTCTGACTGTGTCCATGGCTAAACGGGCAACTTGGACAGTTAAAATAGAAATGAGCTCCACTAAAGAAGTCAGTGCCATGAAAGTGTCTCTAGTTTTTCCCTGACTTGGCTTACAGCACAGTTAAGTTTTGCAGTTTTTTCCTTTTGTGTTGTCCGTAGACTGCCTCTAAGAACAACACAACACACACGCAGTTGACATGGAGGTATAATTCCTTCCATCCCAGAGTCCTTTAGTACCAGGCCTACAGAAACATTTAAAGGGAAAAGAATTGCACTTGCTTGTATTAGATTTGAAAAAACGTGCTACTATCACATGAAGCCCAGCATTCCAGGCCTGTCTGCTTGTTTGGCATCCTCTGGACATAAAGCCTCTAGCTACTTCTGACCTGATAATTATAAGGAAACCTAGTATGTTCACAACGTTTTTGGCCTTAGCCCACAGACAACATATTAGGTTCTTGGTTAGCCCCCAGGTAAAATCTTAAGGAGTTTCCTGGGTCAAAATTAGAGGCACAGCTCTCCTCTAAAGCCAAGGGACCTCAACCTTGCCATTCAAAATGGCGATAGTATCAGAGGTGAGTCAGATACAGCTTTTAGATAGACTTGAGTGTGTGAGTGTGTATGTGTGTGTGTGTGTGTGGGGAAGCCAATCTAGCTCACTTGGGGGGAAAAGGTAGCTCCTCACTAGATAAATTTTTATGTTCATAAACCCTGAAATAGAATTAAAAATGAGAAAAATCCCCAACAAGACTTCTCTGGTTCACAAGTTGGGATTAGCTGAGGTGATAGGAACAAAGAGCAGATCTGCCTTTCCTGAGCCTGGAGGTGGCAATGTCCCCAGGGTTCACTCTCTAAATTAATTCCCCCAGCCACCAGGCCAAATCCCATGGCATCACCTAAAGGAGATGTCCAAAGGAGACGTGGACATACTTTCAGTCACTACCAGATCAGATTAGCGATTTTTAATAACAAGTCATTTGTTCACATCCTGTTTCAAACCATTCTTCCTACTTCCCACAAAATATACACAATTCTTTCATTTTAAATATTTACAAACAGGAAAAGTCTATCAAGACATTTTCTGAGTCTGTATAAAGTGCAGCTAATTTAAGGCAAATTTATGTGAAATATAAAATGTGGCTTATTCTCTCTATATACACATTTTCCAGTTCTAAAAGATAAGGTCTCCTCCCCTCAAAAAAAGGAAAGAGAAAAAAAAGGGCTTGTCTTTTTTTCTGGCAATTTTAAAATTAAGATCTTATTGGTTTCAGGAAATCATAGATTTCTGAATATCATAAGTAAAATGGTCTTCTTTTTTAAAAAAATAATTTTTATATAGCTTTTTCAAACAAGTTAAAAGGTGGCAATGTGTCTCCTACAGTAGTTTGGAGGCCTAAAGGATTGATGGGTAAATAAAAGGGTTGTTGTTTTGTTAGGTGAGTAGATATTAGGTAGTCTGGGGTGTATACCATAACCATTCCTAAATATGCCCGATGAGGCTAGACACCTGAAGCTACTCTTAGCTCCAGGAATGAGTATCTTCCATCTCCATCAGCATCAAACTCTCTCAAACGCTCTGGTTCCGGCAGAGCAGAACCTAAGAAGTTCCAGATTTCCTGGTAGGTCAGCTTCCCATCCATGTTCTGGCCAGTCTTGTGGAATAAATCCTGAAGATCTGTTAAAAAG